CCCAGGCTCCATGGTAGGTGGCAGGGGCCTGCTCAGAGCACGGGCTAACTGTGGCAGCCAGCTGGGATGCTGTAAGCAGATGCAAGTAGCTGCTCTGGGGTCTGCCAAGTCCTGGCTCAGCTTGTTGCTGGCGTGGGTGTATGTGCACCTGAGGTGGACGATGAGGGAGCCATGAGGGGTCTGATCCTTGTTGTGGCAGTGCAGCCCCATCCCTTTTCCTGCTGCCTGCCCTGAGATGCGTGTGCACAGATTCCAGTGTGGCCACTTGAAACCTCCTGGCTGCCTCCCACAGCTGGCCCAGGCCTTGCTACCCACCATAAAGCCTGGGCTGCTCACAGCAAGTGGCAGGGAGGCTGCAAGCTGCTGCACTGGGGTCCACGGAGCCTCAGCCTGGCTTGTTCCTGGCAGCAGGTGCATGCATGCCTTGGGGTGGATAGCAGGGAAGGGGCCCGGACCGCGCTGCCTTAACAAGGATCTGGCCTTTCACAGCTCCCCTGCCATCCGCCCCTGGCATACCAACATTTTTCAAATTGAGGTTTTGCATGTTTTTGGTACTCACTGAAAAATGTTGCCAACCCCTGGTCTAGCAGTTTTGTGGCTGCTGCGTGCGGCCAAATACAATTGTGCTTATGCCTAACACCTGCATATCTGACACCTTGACATTTTGGAAGTGGAAGAGGACCTGAGCCTTAGATTGTACATGTGCCTGGCTGTATGGGATTCATAAATGAGGATGGGCCATGTGGGCTGAATTAATTTTTAAATTGACAAAACTTCTACAAAGGCAGGTGATAGTTTGCAGGACTCCAAATCTATGATATCTAGGGTCTCCTGTTTTCCTCACCTGTATTAGCTTCCTGCATAACAAAGGTGTTTACTTAAATTGAACTCTTCTATATAATGACATCTGGCAATAGCTATATGAGTAGTATTAACTGTCTGGGACCCCAGGTTACACAAAATTATTTTTAAAAGCATATTTGAATTTGTTTTCACATTTTGCTGCTTGTTACATCGCTGATACTGTAGTTAGGTCTGCTGCATTCAGTCTGTTGTGTATGATGTTTACACTGAATGTCACTATATGCTGTGAACTGAGGAGATGAGATTATTGTCACATGGTTACATGGTTTCACTTAAGAGTACAGATCTGTGTCTGTGTATTACTCATTCTTGTAGTGCTAAGTAGTGATCAGAGGACTAAGCAAGTTACTGAAATATAAATGGGGATGGAAAAGTTTTTAACTGCGGGCAAGTGTGTATCAACCCTGAACCTTGCTGTATGCTCCTAGCTCCACCAAACCAGCTCTGCTGCCTTGTATCTGGGCTTTGGCATGGGCTGAATGGGAGCAAGAAGGCACAGCTTGCTTCTCTTTACAATTCTGAACATGTTCTTCAGCTTTTTCCCATCTTTTTATTGTGTTGCCCTTTGCAGACCCTGGAAGAAGCTTTGCTGCCAGGGTCACATTCAGGGAGCTGCTGGAGGGCTGGACTAGTTCTTCCATTGTCAGAGCTTGGTGTTTGCAGCAAGGCAGGGGCTATTCTGGACTCCTGTGTTTCTAGAGCAGACAAGGCCAATAGCTTCTCTGCAGGCAGAAGGGGCACCCTACTGACGAAGCAGTCTGTTGTGTTTCGCTCTCTCTTCCCCTGCTTCTCTTTTTTTTTTTACATTGCTCACACTGAACGTAACGTACAAAAACATATACGCTGCATTTCTGCATTCTGAGGTTTTTTTCTCCTCCTTCCACTTCCTTTTCCTCTTCTCCTCCCTTTGCCCTGTCAGTCCATCCTCTTGTTTACAGCAGGCTTAGGCTGTGGTTCAGACAAAGGAAGGACTGCCTCGCCATGATACTGGAATTGGCAACAGCCAGCCCTCCTGTTTGTAATGGTGACTGTGATTCCAATGACTTGCTCTTCTGTGGGAGCCATGCTGGAACCCTTGTCTTGTTTATTTTGGGTGTGTGAACAAGGAAGGACCCAAAGAAAGGTTGATGAAACCTGGCCTTCTTGGACAGGACTGGCTTTATTGTACAGATATTTCCCCCCACTCCCCCTTCCTCACTCTGCACAGCATCTAAGGCTGAAGCTCCTCCAGCTTCCCAAACAGGAAGGCAGAAACAGCCACTCTGCAGAAACTGGCCTGGAGATTTGCCCTAGTCAACAGACTAAAAGCCCCAGCCCTGCCCCCACCCCAAGCACTGCTCTTTTTTTTTTCCGTTAAAAAGGGAAGCCATTGTGGTGAAAAGTGAAATGTGTTGGGGTGTAACTTTCAGCCAAGTCTACCCTCACCTGCCCCGCAGAGAGTGGGGTAATGTCAGTTCACAGCCTGTGTTGCAAGAGAGCGCGGTTATGCTTATCTAAAATTCTTGTAAACTGTTCAGCACTAACAGGGGCTAGGTCAAATCATGATAAATAAGTTCACTGGACTGAGGAATGAGTCCTGGAACAGTTCAGTAACTGAGTTACCTCACCACTTATGAATATCCTGCAGGAGAAAGGAAACGGCTCTATGTCTTCTAATAACAACGGTGAGACCATTCTGGGAGCAGAGTATAGAATAAAGTCTAGTAGGAACCACTATGGCATGGCCCAACCTCTAACAAAGAGCAGGCCAGAGAACCAAACCCAGCAATTTCTGTATCAAATATACAACTCCTTGGTAAACTAAAGCAGCATGTCTCAACCCATGGGTCATGACCTAAAAGTGGGTTGCAAGAATATATGAAAGGGTTGCGAACAATCCTGGAAAAATGTGGAAAAACCAGAATGCTGCTTGGGAGTAATGTAGGGCCACATGTTGATATTACTGTTAATGTTTTCCTGCTAATACTGATTTCTGCTTTTAAAATTAAGACTGTTGAGCTGCTTTAACTTGTCTGTAATAAGTATTTTGGGGCAAAAATACTTGTGTGTTTTTGACTATTTTTTGGGCTATGACTGGCCATCAATGTTTACAAATGGGTGCTAATACAAAAGAGGTTGAAAACCACTGAGCTAGAGCACATGCTTCAAAAAAGAGACACCCGCTCTTGGTTTAGAGTCTAAAAGTGATTCACAGGATGGAAATTTTAAAAGCAAAATGGGTCATCTTTATATATAATGTGTGTGTGTGTGTGTGTGTATCCAAGCATATCCATTATGCATGAATACATACATATGTATGTGTGTGTGTGTGTGTGTGTATATATATATATATATATATACACACACACACACACACTGTCTGATTTAGCTACACTAGAATTACTGGCTTAAATTCTAGGCTTTTTTTACACAAGGTGTTAGATAAGGAGCCTGATTTCCAGAGGTACAAAATGGACGAGAGATTGCCTAAACATGTTGGGTTCCTAACTCTCCTCAAAATCAACCCTGGGACAAGTTGGTAGACAGCTGTGGCTGTAGGAAAAAGGGCTGTCTCACAGAATACCTGCCCAAGGCTTATTCCTGTCTATGGACCACCATGGTGCTGAGGTAGCAGGGGACAGAAACTGGCATGTTCTATCGGTGTCCTCTATGGCCTCTTAAATAACCTTTTGGTTAGTGGGCTCAGGATGGCTAATACTGAAAAAGCATAGCTAAGTTGTGCCTTCTCCAGGCTCACTTCCAGTTTATCATGCAGCCTCATGCCAGCTGCCATGTCCCATATAGCTTCAGCAGGGTAATCCTGTCTTCCCCGTTAGGCTGCACTTCATTGAAGCTAAGGGAGGTTCTCCTGGGGTAAGAACCTTGTCTGCAGAATGTAACTTCTTCACTATCTCTGAGCCAGGGCCAGCCTCCCTTTCTTGCCTCTCCCTTGGTTATTTTGCATGCTATCATCCTTGCAAGCTCACACACTGGGCTATAGCATATGGCTGTGGCTGATACATCTGCACTGTGAACTACAAACCTTTATATGCATCCCTCCCACCCCATCTCTCCCAGCCTGTGACTTGCTCTTCCCTGCAGCCTGAGCCAGTCTGTCTGCTCTCCCTGCCTGTCTGAGATCATTTCTGCCTCTGCTCCCATGCAAGTTTGCCTGTGTGTCTGGGGGTTTGATTAGTGTGCAACGAGACATCCTGGTGTGTGACAGGTGGATCAGCCATTGCAGGTCTGGTATGTTCATGTTCTAAGGTGCACCATGTAGCTGCAGCTTATCCATCACATGAACAGATCAGAGGTGCCCAAGGGGCACAGAGTGCTACTGAAGACGGCAGCAGAGTTACCAACCCCACTGCTTTTGGCATGCAGCACGCATAGTACCCAGGGGCCTAGATAACAGCCATGAATGGAACCTCCAGTGGGAGTGCTGCCAGTGCTGACTTGTGAACATTTTGTCATAAGGTTTTCTGGACCAAACCAGTCCCTTGAATGAAAGAGGAAGCCGGTGATGTTTCTGGAGAACTGGTGCAATATTTTGGTTCCTTACCGGGCAAGCAGCCACCAGCTCTAGCTTCCCATTGCAACAAACCCAGCTACTGGCCTCTGTGCATGTGTGTTTGGGGGTATCTCAGCCAAGTGAAGTGCAGTATAGCTTAGAGTTAGGGCATAGGAAAGGGTGAAAAGTAGCCAGGTGGATGCCACTCGCTGAGCAGTGCAGGCAGTGCCCTGCCAGAACTGGTGCTGCCATCTTCCTGCAGCCAGCACCTTGAGAGGCCAGACTTCACATCTGGGTCAGCGTAGCGCAGTCCTGAGGCGGCCCCCCTGTTGTGTGCACATGGCAGGATGTGGCCAAGGGATATAGGCAGAAGTGACTCGCTCGTCTAGGGGGACCCATTGCAGTAGAAGGGTGCTGAAATAGAGCAGCAGGAGTTCTGCAGAGCAGGGCACCTGCTCCTTCCCCCACTGCAGCTCTGGCCAAGGTGCTTTCCCAGGAACAGGCAGTGGAAATTCTTGTTTACACATGATTTGCATTCTTTGCTTGCTGAGCCCTCCAGGAAGGGCAGTGGGACCAGCGGCAGCTTTATCTCCTGCCCTCAGCACAAAGCTGTTTCCCTGTGTGCACCACAGTCAGGAGAGTAGCAGTTTCCTTTTCCCTTTTGACTGAACTGAGAGCTGTCACCCTTACCACGATTCCCTGCATCTCTGAGGACCAGCAGGTTTGAAGGCATGCAGCTCCTCTGGATGCCTCCAGGTGAGACCTGTGGTGGGGCTGGGCTGGGGCATGGCTTCATTGAGAGCCCTTTACAGAAAACTCCTCTGGAAACTAGAGAGGCTCTTTAAACAGAGGATGGACAGGAGCTCTTGTGATTTCTCCTAGCCCAGCCCAGCTGTTTTGGGAGAGAAGGAAGAAGGAGCTGTGACCTCAGACCAGCTGTGAGACCGAGACAAAAATTAAAGGGTTGGTTCCACAACTAGGAAGGGGTCTCTGGGCATGGTGTAGGTCTCTGTGTCCTGCTCTACTGCCATGGCACAGAGCATATGGTCTACACTTTGCATATTTTTGGCCTGCCCTCCTACTGAGGAATAAGACCACAACATGCCTCATTCTTTGCTCTGTCCTCTGGCTCAGGATGTTACATTGCCATATGACGAGGTTTCATCACAGTGATGCACTGTGGGGAAACTCCTGAGGGCAGGCACTGAACTAGCCCCAGCACAGCAAATCTACATAGAAAACAAGTTATGGGGGAAATGCAAAAACTTACTGTGCTCCAAGGAGGCAGCCTGGGGGGTAATCTAGTGTCTTTGATGTGCATATGGCCTTCGGCCTTTTCCTCATGCCTCTCCTTTCCTTAGTTCAAACGGGAATGATGGAGTGACGCCAAACACAGCTGGATTTCAGTTACTTTTAGTGGCCAACCTATTTCATGAGTCTAGGCCAGGCTTCGGACAGAGGGGCTGCAGTGACAGGGAACTTGAGCTGTTTCCACCTCCACACATGAGACTTCAGGGAGTTACAGGGTCTGCTTGTATGTACAGCGAGCAGACTCTCACCCCATTGCGGCAGCACTCCCCAGCCCTGCCACTGCTGTATCCTGAGGGAGCCCACTCATTTCATCCCCCAGGTTCCTTCCATTCTCCACAGATTTGTCCCTTTTCTTTCCTGATGAAAACTATTCCCATCCTCAGTGAAAATTGTGAGTCTGAGGTGCCAGTTGTTGATAGGAAGGGAAGGCCTGATGTCATTCTCACTCTCCTGGAGTCCTTTGTGCTGCACCCCACGGTTGGGTCTTGGTGGGGTGAGAGGTCGCCCTGGGGCACAGCAGAGGAGCTGTCTTTCTGACAGTGAGATGTATTCACTTTTGGTATAGTCTCCCCCAGGTTGGGTTGGAAACCTAGGGTTTGGGCACCACAAAAAGCCCTGCTGTACAGAACCAGTATCCAAGTGAACACATTTCCTTTGCTTCTCTGAAGCTTGCCAACAAGCTGAGCTGGCAGGGGTTCCTGATGTGTCCCTATCAATGGAATGGATTAGCTTTCTCGTGGCTGAGATGTCAGGCTCCTGTAGACAACATCAGGGACTTAGGGCTCCAGCCCTGCAAGCCTGTTGCATCCCAACACTGGCCCCAAGCCTGCCCTATTCCCAGGCATCCCAGAAGGCACTTGACTTCCCAGACATCCCAGAAGTCTTCTCCTTTGACTTCTCTGTGCTATTCTTGATCATAGTCCCTCTATAACCTGCACTCCACTTCTGCATCACTGATGGGAGAAGCAGTCCCACCACTTCTTTAAAATGCTGGTATAAAAAGCCCCCAACACAAGCACAGACCCCCACAACTTCTCTTTTCTCTCCTGAAAAAGATCTGGGCCTCTCATGTCCCTCTAGTACCAGTACCTCTCCTCACACACATCTCCCCTGACAGAAGCTCTAGGTTTTCTGTTTTTTCAAGTGTTACCTAGTTTAGCCACATAGCACCTCTCAGAGGTAAGAGAGCATTACCAGCCTTCTTCTAGAAAGGGGAAATAGAGATACAGGTCAGTTAAGGACCCTCCTGTTCGTGTGGCAGATTTCTTTGTCTGTTCACTACACAGAAATTATCTCATCTGCATGTATTTGCTAGGCAAATTCATCCATATGCTTGCTGGGGTGGGTATGCAGGAACAACCAGGTTCTGCAGATCCCATAGCTGATATGGAAAACTGACATATTCTTTCTGAGCAGCAGAGTGATACTACTTTCCACAGTCTCTGGGAGGCCTTGGCCTACCAATTTCCAGGGTTTTTTTTTTAAAAAAGGGTTAACAAAGGATGCAATTTTTGCAGAAATTCAGCCGTAGAACCTTAACTGAACAAAAAGGGTCGCACCCAAAGAGTCGTGGTGGATGGGTCGGTTTCGACCTGGAAGGGTGTGGGCAGCGGGGTCCCGCAGGGCTCGGTCCTTGGACTGATACTCTTTAATGTCTTCACCAGCGACTTGGACGAGGGAGTGAAGTGTACTCTGTCCAAGTTTGCAGATGACACAAAGCTATGGGGAGAAGTGGACATGCCGGAGGGCAGGGAACAGCTACAAGCAGACCTGGACAGGTTGGACAAGTGGGCAGAAAACAACAGAATGCAGTTCAACAAGGAGAAATGCAAAGTGCTGTACCTAGGGAAGAAAAATGTCCAGCACACCTACTGCCTAGGAAATGACCTGCTGGGTGGCACGGAAGTGGAAAGGGATCTTGGAGTCCTAGTGGACTCCAAGATGAACATGATTCGGCAGTGTGACGAAGCCATCAGAAAAGCTAATGGCACTTTATCATGCATCAGCAGATGCATGACGAATAGATCCAAGGAGGTGATACTTCCCCCCTATCGGGCACTGGTCAGACCGCAGTTGGAGTACTGCGTGCAATTCTGGGCACCACACTTCAAGAGGGATGCGGATAACCTGGAGAGGGTCCAGAGAAGGGCCACTCATATAGTTAAGGGCTTGCAGACCAAGCCCTACAAGGAGAGACTAGAGAACCTGGACCTTTACAGCCTCCGCAAGAGAAGTTTGAGAGGCGACCTTGTGGCTGCCTATAAGTTCATCACGGGGGCACAGAAGGGAATTG